CAATGTTTAAATATGAAATTGCATTTCTTTATTTCTCTCTTTGAAAATCTGTTCTTTGTTTTCTACGTGATGCGAGAATCTCCTAGGGCTATACTTTCTCAAAATTAAATAAAAGAAAACAAAAACAAAATACTTTTTAATCTATCGATTATATTTATACCCATATGGGATATCTTTATTCGTCTGGAACCTTAGGTTGCAAGTCACGCATAATTTCTAGACTTTGGGTACAAAGGGTAAAACGGAAAACCTAGTACTAAGACTTCGCTGTATTTCTGTCACTATCTCATGAACCGTCGAACCGGTTTTTTATATTTAAATTCCCGCGCTTCTACTCACTGTATTTCAGCCTACGCCGTAACTTAATATTTATTTAATGTCGATAGATAAAATTTTAATGTCTTTTAGATATTAAAAAATCTACAGAATAATTTATATCACGCACGTGTAAACGGACGGACATTGTACCTCAATTACTTAAAATGTATTACGTAATTGTTTATATTCTTTATTCGTTGTTGATTTCTCTCATTGTTATAGAGATTGAAAGGGTTTTTGTCATTTACATATCAAATAAATTATTTATTACAGTTGAATTGACATAGACAACCTAACTCTATCCAAGTTGAAAGTTATTTAATACTCCTTATTGAACTGAATACATTTAACGGTTATGATCTTTTGTTTATAAACGAATACTGCTAAAGTATGCATTGCCAAGGCCAAGAACAGGTTTTACCAGTTTTATTAATGGGAGCATTTGAAGACAATCTCAGTCATGCGTAACGCAGTTTTATTAAACTAAGTTCCTTTCTTACTTTAGACTGTTAACGCAGCAGAAATATTTTTTTATTTGTGGTTAAAGCAATAGATAAAACCACAGATACACATAAACTCATATAACTTAAATAATTTCTTAAATCAAAGTTCGTCATCCTACAGGAGCAGCTGTACTATTCTGTTATAACACAGCCTCGAATTTATCGTCGACGAACACAGTGCTGTCACGTCATAGAGTTTCAATCGCTACAATGAATTAAAACCTTTATTATCTATTCAAGTAGGTTTTATTTGATTGAACCTCTATAACGTGACAGTACTGCATTCGACGAACGAACTTCGTACTCAAGTTTAAAACGGAACCCTATTACTAAGACTTCGCAGTCCGTCCGGCTGTCTGACCGTCCATCCGTCTGTCTGTCAATAGTTGTATCTCATGAACCGTGATAGTTAGGCAGTTAAAAATTCACAGATGGGGTGAAAATTTCAAACAACGAAACAGAATAAAATAAATATCTAAGCGGGCTCATACAACAAAAGTAATTTTTTGCTCGTTTCCGGTACGGAACCCTTGGTGCGCGAATCCGACTCGCACTTGACCGGTTTTTATAACAGAATAGCACTACTTAAAATCAGACGAGTTCAAAAAGTCTACAATTCACGTTAGTCGACAAAAACAAATTATTTTATTTCGGCAAAATATGTACGTTCGTTTGACATCATGACATTAACTAACAAATATTACCTGAACACGGTATATGTGTTTATTTAACTTTTATATTATATTTGGAGGCAAAACTATTTACTTATGTAATTCTAGACTACTGGCATGTTAACAAGCATTTTCAAATAAACTGTTGTGTACTTAACTAATTCTTATATTGCGTAGGATGTTTATTGGTATCGCTGCTAGTTCAAATGTTTGTAAAGAAGTATATTCTGTTTCTATGCCGTTGGATTTTTATTTGCAAGATTACAAAGTTTATAAATAGTTTGGCTTTTACTCGTGCCTTTACCAACGTGGATTCAAGCTGTACTACACTAATATTATACTGTTCTATACTAATATTATAAAGAGAAAAGGTGTTATTGTTTGTTTGTTTATGTGTGGCAAATAATATTATGTCAATATGGTTATGCGACAGTATATTACGAATAATAACAATAAGCACAAATATGTAATACCAATATAATTATATTTCGTTGAGAATACGTTACTACGGAATATTATGTGAACACGGAACCCGTAAAGGGTCCGAAATGTCATAAAACTAAATACAAACGCGATGAAACCGTTTAAAAGTTGTTTCATTTATGGATAGTGCGCGTGTAAGTATAAGAAATCAATACGAAATATAACTAAACAATAAACAGATCTGTCACTAATATACATAATACTTTACTAGATTAGGTATGAAATCACGTATTAAAAAGTCATTATGTTGTTCCCGGTACGTAAAAAAAAATTATTAACTGTGTACATTTTTCATTTTCTACTCTAGAACCTGACTTGCACACCCAAAGTAATTTATTAACACGGCAACATGTAATAGTTCCGAATATTCCAGAACGGAAACGAATGAAAGATTTCAAACTTTAGAGAAATCAATTTTGCAATGCCATTGCTTAAATTAGGTACCTACTCCGTTGCAATGCTGCCTAACGACAAAAATGTCGTAAGCAACGTACCAATTTTTTTTGCCAAGATAAGACTGATAGTTTTAAACGAAACTAGGTACCAAGGGTACATATCTATAACAAAGTTATTACTTATTTTTTAAATTTAAACTGACTCAATTTGAGAAATGATTTTAGTAAAAATTGTTATACCTATCTCATTGCTTGAAAAGTTTTTATCTGTGTCTATGAAGTTCGTTATTTGGACGGGAATCTAGATACACCCATCTAGTCATTTAGTTATATTTTTATGTGCGATAAAAATTGATTTTGAAAATTATTGAAATGTATAAAATTATTATTGATGAATTTTTTAATTACTGATGAATACTAATAAAGGCTCTATATAATATAATGCAAAATTAAATCTTAATGTTTTATAGGCAGAGTTTAAAATCAACAGGAGAAAATTGACATTGTGGTAACCTGACGTGCAGCCGTATGTACTATACATCCACCAGTTGATTTTAAACTCTGCCTACAAAACATTAAGGTTTAAAATAAAGAGGAGAAATTTGACAGATTTGTATAATCTGACGAGACATATACTTTATTTTTAATAAACAAACTCATTGTGTATTATTTTTATTTAAGAAAATTCATAGATTATATAGAAAAAATTATATCTGAAAAATTTAAATATATAAGTGATATCAATTAACTACTATACGAGTTGTATATCTAATGAATCACATATATTTATCTTTATTAAGTAATAAGTTTATTGGATAATAACTAATTACCTTCATTTTATTTTAGAAAATCCATATTCGTTGATATCTTTTCAATACAAAAAATTATAAAAGGTAAATATTTTTATTTAATTTTGATGGTGTCAAAACAATGACAGATAACTGATTGCTTGGTCAAATAAGAAAACATTCTAAATGGTATTCTGTAATTAACAGTCAATCTATATATATATTATTTTAAATATGCAATATGTTTCAGTTACGATCCGGTACGTGATGCGAAAGGCGTAACCTGTTGTGATTTTGGGTCAAGACAAGGGGAGAGAAGCAGTGCCATACTTGGGATCCTTTCTTTAAATGTACCGTTTTTACAAATAAAAAAATGTAAATAAATAATAGTCTTAGTGTTCAGTGTTGTTTAACGCATCATTTGCTACGCAACTTTTAGAAATATAGTTTTAATTTAAGAACAAATAAAATTATAAAGTAGATTGTATATACATTTTGTTAATTTTCATTCTTTATCTTCCACGTCAGCGGTAACAAAACTTTTTGCTATATCATTATCACTATTGACTTTTAGTAATATTCTCAGTTGATACAAGTAGAACAAACTTTAATATCACATTTTCAATCTTCTTTGCATTGCCATTAAAACATACGAAAATTATATTTTAGATTGTGTCTACCGCAATTTCAATAAAACTATATATAGAGAATTTTATCAAATTAAACAAGTTTACTTTTCACTTTGAAAACTCATTAAATTGTGTTATTATTACCCATAATTTTAAGAAAGCCCTCTCCATCCAAAAGTTGTCTGGAAGATATAGATATGTAGCTTAATCATAGTCGTTTTTTTTATTTGATGTATTTGGTGTTAACAACAAAGTGTTATCTATCTATGTAAGTTTCTAACAACAACGTTGATGATGACCTTCTAATTTTTTATAACATTAGTCGCTACGTTTAAACATTCAGAAACCAATAAGTATTAGTTAATTTCCTTTATTCTTAAGTACCACATACATTTGAGTTGACTTAGTTAATTCGTTACTCATGCTTATACTGGGTGTGTGCCTGCAAGCCGGCCGGCACACACCCGTCCCGTGGTCTCCAACCAGTGCCTACGTGACGTCGGCCGCGTGGCAGAGCCATTGGGAGGGGGGCAGCCAGTTTGTTTTGCTGCGTGCGCAACAAGCATAGGACTGGATGATGAGATATCGATAGCTCGAGACAATAAATTGGGGAGGCCTTCCATATTTTTTGAAAATATTTCATTTTATATTATACATTTTTTCGGTTTCAGATTTTCCAAACTTTTAAATTTATCAAGGCACTTTCAGAGCGAAATCTTTGGCTGCGGCCCACAACCCAAAATTCAAAAAGAAATTTCCAATATTCATGAAAAATAATTAACGTATTCCGCATGTAGATTATAACTTTTGGGTTTAACGTTTTGCATTTATTGCAGATTCTGGGATCACTAGACCGAAGGTGTCAATATTTTTTTATGATTATTATTACTTGTTTTTGATATTTACGCACAAAATACCCATCTATTGTTTTGGTTATTTATTGATTTTGATCGCCAGAATGTAAAAGAAGTTTCTTAAATGTATTAACAGTCTTTTGCAGAGTTTTTTATTTATAATTTTTTTTTTATGTCGTTTGTTATATTTTTAGATACTGCACGGAGTGTACTTTAATGCCTGGTTACTCAAATGTTATTTATCTGGTTATCCTAATAGATACTGTAAATTACAGAGATACAAAATAGTATTATCGATGTCGATAAATAAATGTAAACATATCTACCGACTGCCCTACATCCATTGCTTATTTTGAGTCGCTTTGGAACAGAAAGCAAAACACAACAAAGAATCAGTCGGTCGTACGATACCGTGGTGATCGGACACTTGCATTTAACTGCTTACCGCGAATATTAAAAACAAAACAGTTGAATTTATATATTTAAAGAACTTTTGATACTTTAAATAGAAGAATTTTATGAAACAAAATGTTTTCGACGAAGAAGAGTTTAGATATTCTTACTAGGATCTATAAGAATGAAATCCGCCGGCAAATCAGTAAGACTACCAGCGTCAGTAACTCAGATGCGATGGCACCAAGACTAGACCAGACCGTGAACAAACCCCAACAGAACGAGGAAACAGGAGTCCCAAAGAAGCTACTGAAGTTGCAGAAATACCACAGGTCAGTGAACTAACACGAGCCATATAACAAAATATTTGCGTAACGACACGAAGGAGCTACGAAGCCATATCGAGTACGACGAAGTTTTTTCAATTATTTCCAATTCAAATCAATTTAAATACCACGAGTCACCGATATAAATATGTGAGCTGTTAACGTTTGTATGAATCTGTGTATAGTTTATTAAATTGATAGATGTAATATGCAGATGTAATATAACTTTTTAGAAATATAATTACTAAGGAGGAATTATTATTTTGTCACAATTATCAATATGCAACCTCATTGCATTATTTTTAAATTCTTACCGAAATATATTATTTACTAGGTCGCTGGTTATACATGAAGCTTGATGACGAGAATTGATCATAGCAACACAAAGAATAGTAGTATACAAAAAAAATGAAACCTACATCGCAATTTAAAATTAGTCATCTCAACAGAAAATAAAAGAATGCAACTTACGATAATTATCTTAGGCGGTAGAGGTGTTTTTAGTTTATGAAATTGGTCTGTCGGATTTTAATTGAGTTAATAAATACCTAATATGTATTTTTTAATTTATTAAAAACAAAATTTACTTAGATACTTCGAAACTGTAGTCACCATTATTTACTATACTTGAATTTTGTTATCTCTTATTTTATTTCCATATTACAATATTCTTAGTTTCTTTATTTACGAAAAAGTTCTCAATTATAAATTCGGTATCAGAAAATTTCGTGTCATTTTTTTACATAATTCAACAATGTTTACTTTTACAAGATGCCATTGGAAGTTTGCAAACATGAATGTCTTTCTTCCATAGATTCCTGTCGACCCTGACTCCTCAGGAAATGCCAATGGCGACCCGTGGACTGACCGTCTCCAAGGATCAGTCCAGGGAATTTATGGCTTGCTTCCCGGACATCGTGCGGGACCTCACTGAGACTGGCAAGCACAACGATGTGCCCGAAGCCAGCAAATGGTTGGCTAAGGTACGCATCACTGATAGAAATACCATTTTAAACCATAATCTAACTATGTAAGGTATTGCTAGCAGTGGTAGCTTGCAATGATCAGTCGATGTGATAGGCATTTGTTTTACAGAACATGACACCTGAGGGCCTATTCTTTTTGGAATCTAAAAATTTTGAATCGTTCTTATAATTTCAAAATCATATCCGTGAAGATTATTTGTGCATCAGTGGCACTGTCAACTCTTGCCTCCATGCATCATAAATGATCGAATATGCGTTTCTTTAGAGTCGTATTAACATTTCAGTAATAGTCGAAATAACGTTTTCGGCAAATAGGTCTTCAGGTGTCAAGTTAATTTGTATGACTAGTAGTTGCTATACTACGCCATGTAACAACAAATTACTTTTTAAGCGTCCTAAATCTAATAAATTGAGAATTATTTGGAATGGAATGTGCTTTGGAAAGTGCTGAATGTGTTGCACCTTTTTTTTATTTATTTAAAACCACAGATATAATGAGTTATGTAAAATATTTTGAACGCCTATTATACATACGCCTCTACCCAAAATCAGCAAATTTTACTCATTGTTAAAATATGATAAACATAACTTTGATGGTTAAGCAAATACTCTTAATGCTTTGACACATAAATAGATAAAGCAAAAGCATTTATTAATATCATAAAAAAGTACTAAATATCGATTGTTAATATTAGGTATGGATCTGGTGTAGTTGTAACGATAATTCACTCGCTTCGCTTGTATTTGGTCAGATATGATATCAGTACACAATTAATTGTAGTACTAGAATAATATCATTAGAATACGGATGTAACGCATTCCAATGTATTTTAGAATAGTTGATACTAAAATATCAATGAGTTCGTTTGAAATTCTATCGATTACATTAACTCTCAGCTGCAGACCGTTCTATTTTAAAAATTCCAAATAATTATTATTTTTGTAGAATTTTTAATAAAATATTTATTACAATGAACCAACACCAACTCACGAAGCTAAAGAAAGAGATAAATACGTATTGCGCGCGAAATAATAGAATACTTACAAAAGGTTAAATTATTGTAAAACTGGCTACAAATTTTCGGTTCACATTTTCCTAATTTTTTAGATACTGCGAACAAAACGTTAAATTATTATAAAACTGGGTAGGTACTGGGTAATTTTTTTGATACTGCATTTTTAAAATGATATTTTAAGAAGAAATTTAAAATTATGTTTTATCCATTTTGTATTTCGAATGCTACCTATGTATATTCATATTTATCAATAGTTTCAAATAATCGGAAAACGAAAATCTCGCATCTCGGGCATTGTCAAATTCACATTTTCTCATTTATATTTGACTATAAATAAAAAAATATTTTATCGACAATTAATTTAAGCAAGTACTGTATCTACACTATACACTAGGTACCAAAACGTTTCCAAAATACCAAAACTTATATTAAAACAAAAGTTGTTTTCAAAGTGACATTCATGCGCAGTATAACAGGGGCCTGGCAGATTCTATTAAAAACAGAAACACGTTTTTGTTGTGACCAAAACCTGTTTTCTCTATACATTGGTAGGAATTTAGGTTTTTCATTTATGTATGTTATATGTATTTATTGCTGAACAATACTAAAAATTACTGCCAGCGCATTTTAGTAGGTAAAAAGATCACTTTTAAATCTGAATCAAATTATTAATTAATATATTTACTAATAAAAGAAAAAATTACTTAGGTACTCTACATTATTTTTTCATGTACACTTGTGAATTACAAACTGTTTTTGTCGACTTGTTTCACTACGTAATAGATTAGCACGCACAAGAAACGTGTTAACTATAACAATGGATTTAGGTATCATTTTGTATTTGGTTTCGCAAAATAAAACTTTGCTCTACAAACTTGCAAAAAATTCGAATTGATATTTTTTGTTTTGATTAAGATCCGCATTGCTTAGTCATTTGTCACTATGCAAAGTCTGCATATACCTATGTTACCTACTGATTTAATTACTTACCAACAGGTGGCATCTGTATAAATACCTATCACAGTGAAAATATTCTCATAGCATAATTATCGTAAACAATGAAAAATATTTTTTTTTTTCTTTGTACAAAACATAATTTATTAAATTGTCAATAAACTTCAGTAATTTATTGCGGATTGTTAAATAAGAGTATTGTTGACTGAATAAGTAATCGTTTATTACTTAATATTATTTAATCAATAAAATAAATCTCTGGTAACTTTTGGTCTGTGACAGATGAAACTGAAAATTTTGAACCTTACAATAGGAAACCTACCTTTACCTTTACAACTCATTAGAACATATATTTTATTAAATAAATTCATAAACATTTTAATAACTAATGAGTTACCTATTGCAATGGAAGATAATTTATTAGCAGATCAAATTTTCATGAAATGTGTAATTTGTTACAGCTTTTACAGTACAACGTTCCGAATGGTAAAAAGAACAGGGGGCTAGCAACAGTCCTCGCATACAAGATGCTAGAGAAACCTGATAACCTGACACCTGAAAACATACATCTCGCAAATATTATGGGATGGTGCACAGAAATGGTGAGAAGAAATTTCAATTCCTAATGTTTCTTAGCATACATTTTGAGCATTTGCTTCGCTTTTTCCTTGCGTCGTATTCCTCCATATATATCCTTTATGATAAGCATTTATCATAATTGAGATGCGTGACAACTATAATATTCTTATCGGATGTCTTATGGTAGGTAACACCTGATAAAGATAAATTTATAGTAAATGTACTCGTAGTTACTACCTCAATCCGAAAATCGGAAGTACGATGAATGTAATATAGTACTTCGCAAATTATGTTATTATCTGGCTAATCCGAAAGTGAACATTTCTATTAGATTATACTAATAAAGTAGGTACACTTTTTGTCGAATTTTCCGTAATAACTTGAATAGGATTATTATTACCTTACTAATAAAAAATCTACATAAAATCTCTTTAGTTTCTTGTTGGTTAATCCCACAGATATGTATCAAAAATTTGTTCTGTGATTGAGCCTATTGACGAAATATAGTCGTAAAATCTATAAATAAAGGTAATGAGTTTAATATTAAAAAAAAAAACAATTGCAACAATTTCATTATCCTCAAAAAATTTCTTTTACTATTGAAACTGCCGTATATTGTTTTATTATGACTTATAGAGCAAAACCGGAGAATTAAGCAAATCAACTCATCATCAGCCTATTAATGTACCCACTGCTGGGACTCAGGTCTTCCCTATGGATAGAATGGAATCGAACCAAATAGGGGAATGGGTCATGACTCATGACCCACCACGCGGGCCTAGTGCGGATTGTTGGGTGTTAACGACTGCAGATGCAGCCGGGACCAACGGCTTAACGTGGAGCACGGAGGAGCTCAAAAATTTATGGCAATCATGCTAAGACCGGCTTTAACCGAACGCGCTAACCACTGTGCTAACGAGATACTCGTGTATATTTTGCGTAATTTTAGGTCTATATTTTTATATCTAAAAAATTATCATTCCAAATATGACTAATTACCATTCCACAACGACATTATTTTTCAGTGTCTTAGTGACTTCTATCCAGTCTAAATTATAAAGCGGTCCAACAAAATCAGACCTATATCGTCTTCAATTTTTTTTTTATGTAAACCTATTCTCGTTTTACAGTTCCATACACACCAGTGGTTGTTGAACGACATAATGAATGGCGCAGAGATGAGGCGCGGGGCCCCTTGCTGGTACAAGCGACCCGACGTCGGTCTCAGCGGCATCAACGACGCTGTACTAGTACAGGCCGCTATGTACTCCACACTCAAACGATACTTCTCCAACAAATCTTATTACAAGAATATACTGGAGACCTTCAACGAGGTAATCATCCACTACCAAATATATAAGTAGCAGTTTAATCAGAACATGCCTCGTGACGCCATTAGCTGGTAATTAGTTATTATAAATTCACTCGACAATGCAACATACGAGACGGGTGAATATATTTAATATAGAAACGCATATTACCGTCTCTCTTGTACCTCCGTTTACGTTCCCATACAAATACGCATCGAGAGTAAAGTCATGCACGCTTGATTTATTACATTTTTATTTACAGACAAAAACAAATGCAGTTATAAGAAAATCTTATGGTCATTTTAGATTATATCAGAACCTATTTTTGTATATATTTATTATATAGTTAAAATAAAATATATTAGTCGTAAAATCGATCCGAAAAAATCATTTATAGTCATAATAGCGATTTTTCTATCGAGCCATAATTATTGAAATTTATGTTTGTGTTTCAGCAAACAATCGACCATTGTTTAATATTCATAAAACGATTTTTCTTTGACAAATATTAGTAACGCTTTAGATCAAAATTGCTTTAAAAAGTTGTAATTTCGCACAAATTCGCCTAAACACACTGTTTAGAGTTAGACGCTTTTCAATATATTTGCCTATATTTTCTTGCTTTTATATATTATTTTTTTTATTTTCTTGCTTTTTAATAGATAAAGAGGGTTAAAATAATGACTCCCTTATTATATACGTGTAAAACCGATCCGCGTAGGGCGGAGCAGGACAGGACCACAATAGCACATATACTAATATAACCACTGTTTAACTCATTAGTAAACCAAAAAAAAATATTAATTGATGTTTTGATTGATTAAGTTGTAATCTTTACTTCCAGATCCTTATGAAATGTTCTATCGGCCAATATATGGATAAATCCCTATCGAAGACAGATAAACCTGACTTATCACAGTTCACAATGGACAAATATGATGCTATTACCAAATACAAAAGCGCTTACTACACATTCCAAATGCCTGTCACCGTGGCTCTGCTGATGACAGGTGTTGACGACCCCGAGACGCACAGGCAAGCGAAGACTATCCTCTTAGAAATGGGAGAATTCTTCCAAATCCAAGTAAGTAATTATTAAATGCTTAAAATGAATTATATACGAAAAATTCGCTCAAAAAAGAATATTTATTATATGTCACCGTAAAATTATAATCATTCTCAGTGTAAAATCTTACTGGAATTATTTTAGTCTAACCTAACTTTTTTTTGACGTTGGGAAATGTGTTACGCATACCGGCTCCCCCCTAGCGCGGGGTCTGCAGGTCATGTGGGACTCCCCTGCAGACCCACCCCAGAATTAGGCTAGTCAAACAACAGGGTTTTGAGACGCACCCCTCAGACAGGGTGAAGGCGTACAATGCCCATTAAACGCGCAAACCGCAATTGTGCATTTCCAGTCCTTGCCCATGCACTTGGGAGAACCCACACAGGCATAAACCTTATAGTGGAACTCCCCCCCTGCCGTGGGTCAACACGCTCTACACTGTCCAGCCCAATCACGCCCCTCCACAGCTCCGAAGAGCGGGCAGAGCAAGTCAGGCCGGTCATCAGGGCACAACCCTCTCAAATTAATCTGACTTAACCTAAACTTAAAACTTACGATAAATTATAATAAAATAAGGCAGATTATAAGCTGACAATGTTTACAATTTTACAATGACATATAGGTGTTATAGGCTAAATCATTACCACTATTGAGCATATAATTGATCAATACATACAATGCAAAAAATTCGAAAAGTGTAAAGAATTTTAATACATTACATTCTAAAATTCCTATAAGAACAACGGAATGTCATAGAGTTCAGGTGATAAAATATGATTGGTTGCTTATTCAAAACTTTATTCAATAAAAAACGTGCATTTCAGGATGACTTCCTCGATTGCTTTGGCGATCCAGCAGTTACAGGCAAAAGTGGTACAGACATTCAAGACGGAAAATGCACCTGGTTAGCCGTGGTTGCACTGCAGAGAGCTACCCCATCCCAAAAACAAATTATGGAAGAGCATTACGGTAACTCTTCACAGGAGTCGATTGCCAGAATCAAGGACTTGTATGAAGAATTGCAGCTCCCCCATACATACTCCGTGTTTGAAGAAGCCACATACGATCTCCTTAGGACCCAAATCCAACAAGTCACCAGAGGATTACCCCACGAGCTATTCTTCAAAATCTTAGATAACATTTTTAGGCGAAACGTGTAATACACGCCATGTCATTTTAGGGTATAATAAATTCTAATGATCTTTACACTAGTTTTATAAGGTTTAAATTAGGATTAAGGAAGTGTATTTGTATTAAGATTGGTGATTTTTAGTGTACGTTTTATATAAAGACCCAATAAGAATCGCTGAAAAATAATAATAATGACGTGATTTTTTAATGAAAGTACTTAATAAAATCTAATTAAATGATAAATCAATATTCGTTAAAAATAGTTTATTGGAAATAAAAAGTTAAACAGAAAAATAATGAATTTTAATTTAAGATTTGTTGAGTCTTTTATATATTTGTATTGGATTCTATAGAGATACAAAGCTTGCTAAATGCCATGTATATTTATAGAATTATTACTCATTGAACTAATTTGATCCGTAGCACTATGATCAAATTAGTATATTAAAATAGTCTCAATAGATAGGGCATTTTATATAATGTACAACTAGTCTTCAATGTGATTAACATTTGATGATTAAACAATTAAATGAAAAATATAACGTTAATTTAAAATTATTATCTTAGTATTATTTTATTTCCTTTTAAACTTAAATATATATAACAATGAATCGCCAAAATATATGTACGTGCATAACTTCCAAACAATTGCACCAAATTTTATGATTCTTTTTTTCTGTATTCCTTATGTCAGGACAAGGTTTGTCTATTTATAAAAATAGGTAGGTATATAATTTATAAAAAGCAGGTATATGGCGATATAAAGTTCGCCAGTTTAGCTAATATTTGATAGATTTATTGAGGAGCAAGCACTTTATTGCTTCAGTCATAGGGTCCCAACGCAATGAATTGAGTTCCCCTGTAAAAAATTGTGTAAAACATAAGCCCCGTAAGTTGCTAATGTGGTGGAATCTTGTCTAAATAACACCAGCGTGACATCATATGAAAATAGAAAGTATAGATAGCAACTAAGGTGTGATATCAATACAACCCAACTCAATAGAGTATTCGCCAACAAGTGTTTATTTGTTAACGGTACTCATTTTTTAACGCAATTACGTCATCAAAATAGTAACCGGGTGCATTAGCGGTTGATACTAACAAGGAGGTACTATATCTCTTAGAACCCGGCGTAGTTTTGTGTCGGCAATGGACACAAATATACATTTTTAAATAGTATTGAACACGGCGGCGGGCGACGTATCCGTCAAGCTGGCAGTGCCACCTTCTTGGATCAGACCTATGTAGTTTGTGTTCTTGGATTTTGAAATAATTTCATGATTCACCTATAATTATTTATCGGTATCTCCTTACTAGTCTGTGCAGAAAATAAACATGCCAAGTTACATAGTCTTGGAGATAAACGAGTCTGTAAGAACGCTCACATTCTTGCTAGGTATCTATTATTATGGCGATGTTACTGCTATGTTAGATATCGCTAGAGCATGATATTAACCACAAACATTTATTATAGGTGGTACTGATCTTGGGCAAAGTGTCACACTTTCCGTGGTTGGAAAATTAATCTTATCTTAATGGACGATATTGATAAAGAACTCATATCAAAATCTCAAAAGATGCCTGTCATACTGACGGTTATGATTTTAGACAAACAAATGCCTTTAAATTAGTTGTCAATATTTTACATCATGAACAGGCAAATTGGGATGAAATAATCAGTAATTTTTTAATCGATTTATCTTAGCTTCGTCTCACTAGTTCTTATGACGTGTGTTTTGTCTTGACATGTGTCATTAGTTCCTTCGCCTGTCCCATATGTCAGTGTCAGTACAGTCAATCTCCAATTCATAAAATAACTTAGTTGAAGTTGGATTTTCTTTGGGTTAGACGGTTTGTGTTGTGATCTCATCGCAAACTGCATTCGGAATATTTACAAACCAATCTCCAGTTGTATGGACTTATTACTCTTTGCAATAAGTCTAAACTTAAACTAAAGCAAGTGTATGTGCCTTGTAAATGTAATACTATTATTAGTAAACCTAAACCAAATTCAGCCAGTGAAAGTTGAGAAAGTACCGCTTCATCTACAACACATCGCATATTTTCTAGTTAATAAAATGTATTCTTTTGTGTCTTTCCGAATAATTAATAAAACAACAAGATTTTACCACACTAAATCATCATTGTTACGGTAAGAACTTATTAGAAATAAGTTTTCTAACGGATAAATTTTATAATATAATGTAAACTGAACGTTTTATTTAAATTACATAAAAATAAGTACAACTAAGCCTTTATAAATGTGTAATGTAAAAGTTTACTTATTTATAAATATTTCATGATATGTACCTACTTTATTAGCAATGATTATTTACTTACAAAAATTTTTGCTTCCAATTAAAGTCTATGTGTGTGACTTTTATAGATTTCATTTCATTTTACGGCATACCAACGTTACAATGTCAAAAAAGTAGTTCTTGAAATCAAAGCATTCTATAAAATATTAATAAATAAAATAAAAATTGACTTTATTTCACTGACCAAATCCCTAAATAATTATACAATGTCTTAGTTTTAAATATATGTACTTAATAGCAGGTTTTTATATATGCATCAGCAGCCATCGTTTACTGGTCAGGTTGTCTTCTGGCATAGGCTTCCTCCAAGGTTTGCCATTCCTCCCAATCATGAATCCTTGGCAGATCATTCTCCCATCTCTTTGTTGGTCCTCCCTTTCTGCACTTCCGCTCCCTTGGACATCATTCAGTAACAGACTTCATATTCTTTTTTGTCTCTTAAAATATGACCTGTTCACTTCCATTCCCACAATATATAATATTGATTGTGAAGAAATGAAAAATTTCACCATGGACTACTACCCATAGTTGTACATGGTGGGGTCATTAACCTACAACATCCTGTACAACAAAACTCATTACTACATAGAAACAACATAGTTTTATCAATAGTAATAATATATCACAATGCTCACATAATTCTTTGGTTCATTATCTGTATCTACACCTGATCCATAAACAAATTATATTGATGTTCATTTTAGTAATAAACAGCATTATGAACTTATTAGATTCGCTCTTATTCTATTGATATCTTTTTCTAATAAATAATGCATTTAGTTGATAAAATACAATACATACTCAAGTCATGACATATTCATCTGATGAGAGTTAACAAACAATGTTTCTTATGCGCATACAACTTACATTAGGTACACTTAAACTTTTCAATTCATGCACACTACTCCATTTACGTGTATATCAGATAGGATCTGATCCATATATAATTTTTAACAATTAACTATTAGTTCCTTATATATGAAATTGCTGTTTTGTCGTACTGGTCACTTTAATCACAAATTTCGCTTTCTTGGTTGGGAATCCCAAATTCAAATTTATATAGTGATTTACACATGTATTTGCGTTTCGTTAGGCGGCATTCATTTGTTTTTTTTTTCTTACATTTGACCTATTTAAGTCACCCAGTATGAAAACTTGAAATATCGTACTTGTAAATAACAATTTACGAGTACGAGTACCAATCCTGCGGAAACGGCTCGAAGGGTTAATGTGTATGGCAGTTGTGTCGCAAAAGAAAACACAGTGGTTTTCTTATTTCAACGTTTTCGTTCTGGAAATTTCGACGCAGAGCAAGCCCCGTGGACGGCCGGAGACCCAAGTTAATAATGAAGAATTGAAGGGTATTGTGGAAGCGGATCCATCGCAACTCGGATGACCCCAACAGAGTTGAATTTTTTGGAAAAAAATATCGCCTTCAAAGATTTTATTGATTCCCGCCCGAATGGTTTTTTTTAGTAAGGGGATCAATGAACTATTTATGAGATGGCAAAAGTGCATAGATAACAATGGATTATACTTTGATTAAATAAATATTTTTTTATATTATATTAAAAAATATTCGACTTTTTATCCCTCCTATTTTATCCATACCAAACACCAATAGGGATGATGACTGGGTAAAAAAAATGCAATTCTATTTAGTCCGTCAGTCAGATAATAGAAAAATATTAGATACGTATTTCTTTTTACTTCAATTTAACAAGAAATAGCTTATATAACAGGCATTAAAGTTGAGGAGTGGGGGCTCGCTACGTCACAGTTGAGTAGAAAACGTACTATAACGTGACGTCATGCGAAATTTCAACTCAATGTAACGCCGTAATTTTATGATTACGAAAAAAATAAAAAAATACGTGTTTAATATTTTTTAACACTCTGCCTGACGGACAAACAAACAAAATTTAGTCATCATCCCTATTTCATATGTAAGGACCTAATATTCCAATAGCAACTCATTATATGTATTATTTTTATATTATAATAACATTTGCTTATCATTTTATAATATGTACATACCTAAAAATTAATGAGCATCTCTCTACTTTCTATAGGAACACACTAAACTGTCAAACTTTGTTTTGTTATTACAGGCCAGTACAATTCATAAGCAATAACAAAATGTTAACCAACACAGCAATATCACAGAATGAAGAAAAAGAAATTTTCATGAATACTTTACCTATTATAACTGAAACTATACTTAAAAATCCAAAGTTTACTGAACTTCCAGGCGTTGGAAGTTGGATGAAAAAGGTTTGTGTCTATACTACTAAAATTATTAACCGGTTCCCTAAGGACATGAGCGAAGCCACTGGCGGAAAGCTAGCCAATCAGTGGTAAAAATAATTTACATGAAGAAAAAAAATGATATTACAAAACTTACAAAAACAATAAACTAAGTTTGAATCTTACACAAAAGCAAAGCCATTTATTGTGTGCAATAGCAATATTAATGTATTTCATTATACATATAACTATATTTTTTGTCTAATCAAAGTTCTATTTTTCAGGTTCTAGAATATAATGTAGGCAGTGGTAAAAAATCTCGAGGTCTTGCAACTGTATATAGTTACAAAATGATAGAAAAACCAGACAATATCACAGAGGAATCTCTCAGATTAGCTTGTATCATGGGCTGGTGTGTTGAAATGGTGAATATTCTTTGTTAATTCTAGATCATTCAATTTAATGTTCTATCAATGACTTTTAATTAGACAAACATTTATTAGACTTTCGTAGTAGCAATAGATAGCAATAAAATAATGTTACGTACCTGAAAGCTTATATTATCTGTATTTTGGATTCCCTAATAAATAAATAATTCATCATCATCTGTCCTTTTACATCCCCACTGCAGGGGCAAGCCATAACCCTCCACGCAATCCTCCCTCCAATGTGAATCGGAGTATATTAACGACTACAAATGCAACTGCTTAACGTGCCTTCTAAAGCACGGAGTAGCTTGAGTTAATAATTTTTGGTCACCCATCCCGTGACCTAACCTTGCGAAAGTAACCTAATAACAAAAAGCGCGACCTCGACGCTTGTCCACTACGCCGCCGGGCTACTCTACTACTACTAGATAAATATTTATGAAACAATTATGTCTTAAATATAAGATATGAAAGTATAAATTCCTATTTTCTTAATTTAAAAAACAATACCTTTGTTTCTATGCCAACAGCTGCATTCATATCTACTTGTTTTGGATGACATAATGGATCATGCGATAACGCGCCGTGGTGTTCCATGTTGGTATCGACTACCAGAAGTAGGATTGGGAGCAATCAACGATTCTGTACTCATGCACATGTCAATGTTTTACATTCTAAAGACCTACTTCAGTCAAAAAAGTTGCTATGCCAACATATTGGATACATTCCATAATGTAAGTTAGGAAAATATAGAGGTAGATAAAGTTTTAAGTTATTGTTTTGAAAATATTTACTTTAAATATTTTTTATTATAAATATAAAACAAATGTGAATGTAAAAATGATCTAATATAATAATATTTACTTTCGTTATTACCAGTCAAGTGAAAATTGGCTTAAATCTTTATATATTTTTAGAAAAGCTTAGATGTTTTTCTCAAGCAGCATTGCTTTTACTTTAATCTTCTTTAAATATAATAATATTTCAGAGTTTACTTAATACGTCCATCGGTCAACACCTGGACTACACAATGGCGCATCATGTCGAAAACAACTACAATTATTTTACAATGGAACAGTACATGGCGATTGTACAACACAAGACAGCGTACTATACTTTCTCGCTTCCAGTGTGTCTCGGTCTTTATCTTGCTAATAAGATGGACATAGAGATGCACAAGAAAGCTAAAGAAATAACCATCGAAATTGGAAATTTTTTCCAAATACAAGTAAACAATTTTTTTAACACCAAACATAGTTTGTTTTAATCATTAAGTAGTCTTAATCCAGAGCTGCACACCATTTTTAAAGTTTATCCATAAAAATTATTTTAAAAATTGTTCTAATGGCACATTTATGATTTACCCCAAAACGCAAAACATTTCGGCTCATGTTTCTAATTGCTTATAGATACTTAAATGTTATATAAAATTAAATTATAAATATTTTGAAGAGTTTTATGTTTTAACATTATTTTTTCTATAGGACGACTTCATAGATTGTTTCGGCGATGAATCTGTCACAGGAAAAATAGGCACTGACATACAAGAAGGGAAGTGTACGTGGCTCGCCGTTATGGCATTACAGCGCTGCAACGCATCGCAGCGTTCGGAATTCGAACAATGTTATGGCAGCAAAGATCCCGACAATGTGCAGCGCATTAAGCGGCTATACGAAACCTTAGAACTTCCCTGTTTATATAAAGAATATGAACAAAAATTATACGAAAGTCTAGAGCAACGTGTGAAGAGCGAGCACTCAGGAGAGTTAATATCATCCACTATAGGTTTAAGACTTTTCGAAACTATATACAAGAGAAAAGGTTAGGTAGTACTTTTGAAGATGTTGTGTAACATTTTTATAAACACGAGTGGATTTTATTCTCGTTTTAACGTTTTAAGTCTTCCAACACGTGTATTTAATTACATTGTTAACCATAATGTAAGATGTTTGAATTAATTTTATATGGGAACATGACAAATAGAGTACCTAAGTAATAAATAAGTATCTACCATATAATGGAGTATATGCATATTTGTCGATCACGCCGAATATTTGGTTAAATTACAGTAAACTCGTTTTATGACACGACAAACCCAATTAATTCAAACGCTGCTGACAATTTTCTTGTATTATTCTTTGAACAAAAAATGTTCTACCGTTTTATTACAGTCACATGTAATCGAACAAATATATTTAACTATGTTATAACTAATTATAACTATGTTATATATTATTTTTAAATAAATTGTAAGTATGTTTTATTTTTGTAAAATTAATATTCACGAAATATCACGTGACTGATTATTTTCACGGATTTTTTAAAATTTAGATTTTTGAGAAAACACTTTTTAGAGAAATATAAATCCGTTAATGGTTTAATATAATCTATATGAGTCTTTTAATACTTTCCACGAATTTTTCATGTAGTCAATTATCATTGGTAAATAAATACTACATATTGTGAAAATCAAAATGTGTACTAAAAGTGCACCGCACAGTGCACGAGTGCACATCGAAATGCATTATTTTGGTGCACATTAACCCCTTGCTATAAAGCAATTAAAGTTCGTTGTTTACTTACACGTACATATTCGTGTCATTCTAAAACTTTAAGTTCGAGAGAAAAATACAAAGTACATTGCCTATTTGTAAGACCGTCTGAGTTATCTGATGAATATCAAGTAAAATAGATAATAAAATAAATAAATAATTTAATATCGATTATGGAGTAATTATATAACTATTTAAGACAACTATGAAAGGTTCTTACAATGTGTGCTGTCTAAATGAATTCCCTAAGCATTAAAATTTTTATTTTAAAATGGGGCGAATATTTTGAGTAAATTTATTTTTTGTGAATAATGTTTCAATATCCACCAGCCCCAGATATCCTGTGATCGGATACGATTAAGAGCCATATGATAAATTTTCACTCTGTGAGATTAGGTATTTTGAAGTCCACAATACTGTGTTGAAACTACGACCAAGCTATTTTGATACTTTTCCCAATTTTTGTATTTTTTTTTTTTTAGTATTTCTATGGTGAGATTCATTATCGATTCCCGAATATTTAAACACGACTGCTCTCAAAAGGAGTCTATTGTTTTTAGAATTAATGTATGTATGTGAGTTTTTTATTGCGCCATAACTTTTCAAAGATATAACGGATATGAATGTATAGGGTATCATTAGAAACATCATCCTAAGTTCCTATGATGGCGACCATCTTGGATTTGTAATTTGTCATAGTGTCTCATGACAAAATATGTGGGTAATCCAACATTTTGTGGCGGCGGCCATCTTGTATATAAAATTTTGTCATAGTATACGGTCAAGCCCCTTTGTTTGATATCCGTATTGATGGAGTCGTGACAAAATATGTAGATAATCCAACCTTTTTGGTGGCGACCATCGTGGATTTGAAATTTATCATAGTTTATAGTATTCTACTACTCAAGCCCTTTTCTTTGATATCCGTATTGAGGGAGTCATGACAATATGTAGGTAATCCAATATTTTGTGACGGCGGCCATCTTGTATATAAAATTTTGTCATAGTGTTCAGTGTTCTACTACTCGAGCCCTTTTATTTGAAATTCGTATTAAGGGGGGTCGTGACAAAAAATGTAGATAATCCAACATTTTGTAGCGGCGGCCATCTTGTATATAAAAGTTTGTCATAGTAAACAGTATTCCACTATTGAAGCCTTTTTATTTGATATCCGTATTGAGGGAGTCGTGAGAAATATGTAGGTAATCCAACATTTTTGGTGGCGGCCATCTTGGATTTGAAATTTGTCATAGTGTTCAGTATTCTACTACTCAAGCCCTCTTATTTGATACCCATATTGATGGAATCGTGATAAAATATGTAATCCGACATTTTGTGGCGGCGGCCATCTTGGATCGATTTTCATCAAATAAATTTGACATAGTGAAGAATACTCCCGACTAATACACCTTTCAAACAAAAAAAAAACAAAATCAAAATCGGTTCATCCGTTCGGGAGCTATGATGCCACAAAAAGACACACACACACACACGTCAAACTTATAACACCGCATCGTTTTTGCGTCGGGGATTAAAAATATATTGAATTTAGAAAAAGTTGTTTGATATGCAGTTCTCCGATAAATTTGATATCCGTCGAATTGCATCGAGCCATAAGTCTAAGTTAATCCTTATTACGTAAGTCAACTTCTAGTGAAAGTCCCTTCAAAATCAGCCATGCCGTTTTAGAGATTAGCCAGAACTAACAGACAGACAGAAAAAAAATATTATTTTTGTATATGTACCATGTATACACATAAATGTATTTAGTGAAAAGCGGTTATTTTAATATTACAAATATGCACTCTAATTTTTATGTACTAGTATAAGTGTATTGAGAGAAGAAGTACCTTGCTTAATTTGCATTTCTTAATTTACATATATATTTTAACTTTCTTATACAAATATACCTAGGGGTCTTTCGACCCATGCTGAAAATAACATAATATATAAATATAACATAATAAATAAATGTGTATTAGAAATAATTCAACAAGCTATATAAATTCCATATAAATCGAACTTCGTGACCAAAGTTGGAAGTCCCACTATACTGCTCTATTAACGCTCGCTCAAACGTATTTAGATCGAAAATGGCGCGAAGTAATGCGACACAGAGTACCACGCGGTATTGAGCTCAAACGGCCGCTGCATCGTATTTTGTAGTGATTTTGCGTTTACATTTCGCCCATGAAGAGTCAATAAATAATTACTGATATTTTGTCAATTTTTGTTTTATTGTATTATTTTATATATTATTCGTTGTAAAACAACTACTACACAATGGTGACAAAATTTTTGGGTTCGTTTCTTATGTTTTCGTAAGATAAACAATAATTGCAATGTACTGAAAAAACCAATATAATAGATTTGAAACGTTTCTTTCGTCTCCTGAAAAGTTGCATTTTTGCAGTTATTATTTATGGACTCTTCATAGACGATTTATCGTATTTATTGAAATAATATAATAAATTTATGCTTTAAAATTATAATATCTTTGTTCCTTATGAAATAGTAATAATAATAATAATTCATTTATTGCATGTCACATAGTAAAACAGGTGTTATTATTAGGTACAGTTTATGTGACACCCTGTAAGGGTGTAGCAAATTTAAATTAAAATTAAAATTTCATTGTAAATAGTAAATGCTTTAAATAAAATCTTCTATATCTTCACTTTCCTCAATATCTTACATTCATAAAATTTCATTTAAATTCACATTCGTCCCTAATTTTTAAAAATAATCATATGTATATAAAATTAATGTTAATTGTCTGGTAATTTTCAACTAAGTACAATAAATGTCAAATGCTTAGAATTAAAAATTATAAATTATGTCACAATGTAGATGTCAAAACAAAACAAAAGTTAAATTGTCAAGAGATAAATTAAATTGTCAAGGAAGAAAGAAAAACATGGTATGTCAACGCCAATAAAATATTACAATTTGTCATCAAAATATTCTTGGACATTATAATAACACTTGTCAATGAGAATTTACTTCAATGTCGTTACAAACTTTTTGATGTTAATTTCATTTTTTAAATTATGGGGTAATCTATTAAAAAAAATTATTGCCATTACATAGGGACTCGTACTATGCAAAGTCAATTGTGATTTTGGAAGTATCAAATTATTCTTGTATCTCGCCGGATATCTCCTCAGAATATCATTTTTTTTGGGTAAAGAAGTCAGGATGTTTTTTAAAGCTCTTATATATACTATATACAGAGAAGTCACAGTCAATATCTTAAATTGCTTAAAGTACGGTTTACAACTACAAGTAGTGTCAATATTGGCAAGGATTCGTATGCACTTTTTTTTGTTTAAGGAAAACATTTTGTATGTCTGTGCTATTGCCCCAGAGTATGATTCCATACGAAAGCCAAGCGTGGGCGTATGCATAATAAGTTGCCATTGCTGAGTTGAAATCACAGCTTACCTTTATTTCCCTTAAAGCATAAAGAAAAGAAGATAATTTTGCTTTAATTGTTTCTATATTATGATCTTTCCAGTTTACATTGGTATCTATATTTAACCCTAGAAGCCTGAAAGTATTAGACACATTCTAATAGATTATTTTTGTATTCAAATTTTATGCTTAGTGCTTGTTTTTGATGAGGTCTAAATTGCATGATTTTAGTTTTAGTATAATTTATTTCCAAATTATGGTCCTTCATCCACTCAGAAATAACATTTAAAATATTTGTCAATTTTTCGTTCAAATTTAAGTTATCGGTACACGAAGTCAAAATAGAAACGTCATCTACAAATAATATACATGAGTCATTTAATAAGGTTTTAGGGAGGTCATTTATACAAATCAGGAATAAAACACATCCGAGCACACTGCCTTGTGGAATGGAGTAATTTACAGTCTGCACCACAGAACGGACATTTTTTTTCTCTGCAGTGTTTTCGTCGAAGTGTTTGATTTCAACATGTTGTATTCTATTTTGTAGGTATGACGCAAACCACCTGTGCGCCCACAGAACATAGAGAGAGAATAGAAGTAGTAAGTGGGCGGGGCACGCGTCGCTGGCATATGCGCTTTTACTCATATGACGCCCTTTCCTCGGTTTTATGTTTGCCAGTCGTTCGTCAATCGTCGAGTGGTGATTTTACAGATTTTTTCTATAAAAAATGCCGTTTTGTGCTATTATCACTTGCAAAAAGCAAAGCAAAGTATTCAATCTAACTAATGCAAACATTTCCTTTCACTGGTAAGTACAATTTTAGTGCTAAAATATAAAAAACGTAATAATTTGACACAATGTTAAATAAAATATACATTGATTGCTCAAACCAACATCAATGTTTCTGACCCCATTACTAAACAGCAATGTAAATCATTTTGTGCACTTTTGCAAAAAATAGTGCTGTGCCTCCATTTGTCTGAAATGTACCGATAGGCTGCTGCTGCTCGGAATCGTATTGTTAATTATATGGATCGTAATCGATAACTAAAACATATTTATTTAGAGCTTTTCTTTCATCATTTCATAACAACGTTATCGATAAATATATGCCATAATTATATAAAACTAAAAAATACTGTTTACAAGGGAAAATTATAGATGAACTGATACTGAACAAATGAAATAATAATGAACTGTCCAGGCACTTTTTTTACGAAGATTCGGGTATTTACTCGCAGATAAATATTAAAAATTACTGATGTGCTATAAATATCTAAGTTACGAAGTATATCACCGTTTTATGAACAATACATAAATTAAACGAAACTTTGTGAAAAGCTAAGAGTTGGCC